CAGCAGATGGGAGCTGTACCACTGCTTTGGTGTGGAGGGCCATGGTAGGTGCTTCTGTGGTTGGAGGAGTTCCTGCACATAACAACAGTGGTGCTTTCTGACCAGTGCCCTGCAGTTCTGCAGAACAGAATTAAATGTTGTTGTGTTGAGCATGAGTTCGTGCAGCTGCGCGGGTGGTGCTCAGGGGTGCTGCAGGAAGGGAGCCCTGCCCAGCCTGGGGTCCGTTACACCAGACAGGGATCTTGTCACATTGTGATGGCAGAACATCATCAGACCTCACAGAGGAGTGTGTCAGACTGATACTGTGTTGGGGAAGTGCTTTCAGGTAATCTGCAGCCCACCAGTGGGATAATCATAGTCCAGAATGTTCTTCAGCTGGTGTTCAAGTAATCCAGGACCCAAGGTCCAGTGCTGGGGACCTGACCCCAGCGTGATTATGAGAAATCAGAGGATCATGGAACGGTTTGGGTTGGAAGAGACATTAAAGATTAGTTCTAACACCCCTGCCATGGGTAGAGACACCTTCCACTAGACCAGGTTGCTCAAAGCCCATGGTCTTGAACACATCCAATGATGGAGCATCTGCAGCTTTCCTGGGAAACTTGCTCTAGTGTCTCACCACCCTGATAGTGAAGAAATTCTTCCTTACATCTAATCTAAATCTCCCTTCTTCCAGTTTGGAGCCACGTCCCCTTGTCCTATCACTACAAGCCCTTATAAAAATTCCCTCCCCAGCTTTCTTGTAGGTCCCCTTCAGATACTGGAAAGCTGCAATAAAGTCTCCCCAGAGCCTCCTCTTCTCAAGGCTGAAAAGCCCCAGCTCCCTCAGCCTGGCCTCACAGCAGATGGGTTCCAGCTCTCTGATCATCTTTGTGGCACGAAATCTTGTAGCTGGAGAAGAATAAGGAAATCTAATGTTAAGTTCAGGAAAACCCCTGTAATCAATGAACTGAGACTGCAACTCCAGTTTCAGACTTTCTCACATTTTCCAAAATACTGTCATGATAGAAGCTATGGGGAAGGTGTAGAGCATGTAGGGGATTGTAGGAAAAAAATTGTTTAGTTTCTTAACCGATAACTACTGAGTGGTGAGGAGGGGAATGGGCAAGCTGTGATGACACTTCAGGGTTTGTTGCAGTAGGATGGTCATTGAAGCATCAATTTTATCCTGAAAAACAGAACTTAAAAAGAAAACAGAAGCTGTTTGCATAATATTGACTTTGTTTCCATTCATTTAGATATCTTAATTTCAAATTATGCATCCCTCTCTAGTATTGTGGTAGGAAAAAACAAACCTGAAGAATTTCCTGACTTCAGAACAAGGACCATGTGTTCTGCCAGGAGTGATGTGCTCCCAACTACTCTGGTGTTCACAAACTGCATCACATGTATTTGTCTTTATGAAAAGATGTTTGCCTTCAAAGACTTGAACGCTCACCTTCAGTGCATGGCCACAGGTCTGCCTTAGCTGTTCCATCAGCTGTGAAGTAGCCAGTGTTGGAGTTCCAGCTCTCTCTGTGTTTAAGAGAGACAATTGCACCTGCCAGAGATTCCAGGTTGCTGGGCCATTTATGCAGGATCATTTCCTAGCACTTGATTTGCACTAGGTTATTAGTTTCTCTACTGCATATTTGAATGTGCAGAAATAATGGGTTGGAAGTGCCTAACTTCCCTGTATATAGTTTGAATAAATACTGTAAAAAGTTCATGTTAGAGCCTTTGCCCTTTAATGACACAGCTACATTTGCAGCTTTTGGATCACTTAAATGCATTTGTGGTGTCTGTGAACCTTCAGTGACATTTGTCAACATCAGCCTGAATTGTGCAAAAGTTACCCAATCAGTTAAAGTTGTCATGGTGAACTGTGTCTTCAGCACGGGACCTGATGGACACCAGCTTCCCACCAGGTTAGTTTTGGGAGAGCCTCTTTCTGCTGTCCTCTATGGAGCCCAGGGCATGACTGATGGCTTTGGCTACCAGAGACCTCAATAAACCCCAGTTTCTGTAGTGACCTTGCCACTGGTGATGATCCCTTCAGCTCTTTACTTCTAGAAGCTTGATTTATCTGGAATTTATGAAAGTAACTTCATCAATAAATGGTGGCTGTGGGTTTGGAGGTTGTACAGCCTACCGTAGGGCAGCACTGAACTCAGGTGGACAAAATGGTCTCTTCATCACTCAAAACAAACAAGTGAATATTCCATGGACATCACTTATTACTCATGAGAAACTGGGTTGCTCTGAAGTTAGTGCTGTTCTTCAGTGCAGTCTGGACTTGAAGAAACACAATATGTTTTAAAGAAATAAGCTTTCAATGCATTATTTTCATTGGAAATGTTCAGTTGCTATTTTTGAAGTCTTAATATGTATTTTTCAGATGTCCTGAATTTGTTTCTTTGTCCTGTGAGGAACTTGAGAGAAATGAATACAGACAAATTATTTCATAAAACATGCAAAATGGTTGTGGATTGACAGTTAAATCTGGAATAGTGAATACATTCAATTTTCCCCTTTGTTCTGTCAGCAGTCACTTGTACTCTAAATGTCTATTTAATTTTTTAAGTAGATTAAGGGGAAATGTTTGCATTATTTGATTACTGAATTGACTTTTCCAAATAATGGATCTTTTCCTCAAATATTTATGTGATACTGGAAATGTTTTTTCATGTGGGAAAAATGCTAAAAATGAACAGGGAACATATTTTGAGTTATTTGTAGTATCTGCACATAATGCCTCATCTGAAATCACTGTACACTTGCCTTTTGTTGGGGGAAGAAAAAAGCAGTTTGTCATCTGTACTGCCTTCCAAAATTAGATTCAGATAATCCCACCTTTTTGAGTAAATAAGCAGCAGATTGGTCTTAAAAATGAAATTCAAGTAAGCTCTTGATATGTGATATAAAAAATAAATAACCTAATACATGAGCAACGTAGAGCATTTCAGTGATAGATGATAATACAGATTACCTTTGTTGTTTACATAATTAGGCTGGGCAGGGAGAAGGAGGCATTAGGAAATGCTTTTGTTTAGTCCTGTGTGGTTGGGTTTTTCCAATTTTTTGATTCTTTCTGTGCTCTGTGTGTGTGTGTGGTTTGAAGTGCACGGATGAGGAATTGTATAGGAAATTTGCAGCTGCTCTAGTTATTCAGTAAGATTTGTATAAGCTGGCACAAGGGAAAAAATTAGAGGGAACTTGAACGAGTGCTGTGCAGTTTATTAGCTAGGCAGCCATAATTTTGACCTTGCTGTGGGTTAAAGGACACAGACCTGAGAAGAAATCTGTTTATCATGTAGGGAATTCATGCCATCCCTGACAGTGTACAGTGAACAAGATGGATGATCTGCCAAATTGGTCCCTCGCATGGGTGAATCAGGGCAAATTTACAGTACAATTCCTTTGCTGCTCCTGCTACAAAAACAACATTTGCTGGGGTTTCTATTCAGTTGTGTGATGACCTGGGGTGAGCAGAGAAAGGAAAAAAGATTTGTAGGATCCTTATTGCCTTAAAGATTTATCTGCACTTTGCTTTCCTTTTATGTCTTGTCTCTTTTGCATCTCTGAAAGCTCTAAGGAAAGACTCCAGTTGCTTGTTTTGAGAGAGCAACTTTCTGTAAGCGTGTGTCAGGGAACCTCTCTTAAATGCAGCATCATGAAAGCTTCTGCTGAACACCACAATTACACTGCACCCTTGGGGTGGGTTAATCAGCTCAGCCAGGGTTGATTCCAACCCTGCTTTTGCTCAGGTAGTGTTTGCCTTTATGTCTGGGGTGTGTTTCCGTGCTGTGTGTTGTGTAGTGATCTGACAGTGCTCTGGATAGCAGTGAAACCAACCTGAGAAATGGTGCAGTGTGCTGTTAGCCACGGCCATGGTAGAGACGGGACCTTCTGCTGCTGAGTGAGCTGCTCTCAGGAGCAGGGAGCGCTCCTGAAAATGCTCAGGGAAACACAATTACTGGCAGAGGGACTACACTTTTGGTGCAGACTGACCTCGTCGTCGTGCAGTTGAGAGTGTTGTAAGCTTCCTCCAGAGATCTCGAGGCAGATTCACTGATGTATGAATCAGAGAAACACGCAATTAACCGTGTCAGGTAACGAGACGTGAGACAGCCCCGGGGAGGGGGCAGTCCCACAAAAATGGAGAGAGCTGTGAATGGAGAAACCACTGTGTGCTCTTTATCTTTTCAAGGGAGTTGTTCTGAACCACGCTGTCTACGTCTTGTTGCTTTTGAAAATCTTTAGATTGTACCCTTAGATGTCTGGATTTTCTGTGTAAGCTCAGTTGGTATGTTCCATTAGAGATAACTGTGGATTTATTAGGGGAAACCAGCATTTTCTGCAGAGCCTATTGTCGTTGGCAATTAACAGATTCAGAAAGCTTTCTTTCAAACAGTGTCATGATAACAGATTTGGGTGTCTGCTGACCCAGTAGCTACCTTTATGTTGGATTCTTAAATACATTAATTAATCTAATATAATTACAAACTGTGTTTTAATCTTGTTATTTCTAGGCAAAAATGTGATGTGAGTGGTAAGAAACAAAACAAAATCACTAATGCTCTCAAGACATAAAGTTGTATCAGTTGTAGAAAATCCCTCACTGACACTACAAAATAGTGGCTGAGTGAGTTTCTTAGAAGTCACAGAAAGAGGCTTAAACCAGTCTATAATGGTAGATTTTAAAGCATCCTTATACAAAAATGTTGTGGAAAGCAAACCTAGGAGATTTCCCGAGAGAGGAAATTTCTTGCAAAGTTAGAATATTGCACTTCATTTTTTTCTTGATTTTTATTAGAAAGCAGAGACGACTCAAGAGAAAATGAGACAATAATTCTGTTTTTAAAAAGAGACTTTTTAGTAACCAAGTCATAACAAGTAGCATTTTTCATACCTTCTCTAAGTAGGTAGAATATTAATGAGAAGGAAAGTTAAATATCCTGCAATCAAAACATTACGATTATGCTAACGTGGGGACTTTTTTCTTCTTTTAATTACAGAAAGCACTCCAAAGACTTCTGCCAGTTGCAGTCCTGCTCCTGAATCTCCCATGAGTTCCAGTGAATCGGTGAAAAGCCTGACTGAACTGGTACAGCAACCCTGTCCTGCTATAGAGACAGCTAAGGATGGCAAATCCCAGGAGTCTGGCGAGCCGCCTGCTTCTGAATCCCAATCTACCACACCTTTGCCACTGTCAGGCCACTCAGCACTCAGCATTCAAGAACTGGTTGCTATGTCCCCTGAGCTGGATACGTACGGCATCACCAAGAGGGTCAAAGAAGTGCTAACAGACAATAATCTTGGTAAGTCTCTTTATTCTCATTTCTTGACCAAAATCAAATCAGTGTTCATGCTTTTATTTTTAAGATATATTTGAGTAGATGTTTACAAGAGTACTTGGGTTTGACTCTGGCCTAAGCTTCAATCTGTTCAAAAGATTTTTATTTGTTTTTAAAGTGGTAGAAAAATCCTTTCAGATTGTCACATTCAACTTAAAATGTCACCATAACCTTGCTTTCTTAAGCTCTGCTTCTGGCTCACCAGCCAGATACTGCTCCCACCTCCCTAAACACAGTCCAGCAGGCTGTCAGGAAGAAGAAATCCCCAAAGCCAGTGAGATCTCCCCTTGAGAAGTGCTGTTTTCCCCGTGCTCAAAGATTCAAGGCCCCAGCATGTGAGGTGCAGATGAAGCAGAGGAGTCCAGCATGGTTGGACAGGGAGGTGCTTCACAAGCAGAAGCATGGCACACCCATAGAGCCAGGAGGGGAAATTCGGGCTCAGCTGAGGCTTAGCTGAACCTGTAGATAAGTGTGTGGGGCCATTCAGTTACTTTGCTTGGAGATGTGTGAAGCTAAGGCTGCTCTTGCTTACAGATGAGTTTTTGGGTGTCAAATTAAGTGTAATGTTGACGTGGCCATATATTTGGAATAGTCAAAGGGAATACCTGATCTGAGATGAGGAAATCCACACTTAATATGGGCGCTGTGCCTCTAAATCAGTAGTTCTTCATACATGTTTAACACTTGCTTCTCTCACAAGGCGCTGGGAGAGCTTTAGGAGTCCTTTGAAGTCTCTAGCAGGAGAGCAGTGAGGCTGCCCCAGGGTTACCTGCAGTGCTTAGCATGGGATTCATATCACTTGCCTTTAGGTGTTCAAAATAGATGTCTGAGAGGGTTGGGGTGAATCACTCTCCAGAAGTACCAGTTTCTCTCCATCCTCTACAGATGGGACCAAAAAGATAAGTTTAGATTTGGACTGCTGATGATACGTACATGAGAAGAATTCCATCCATATCAGCTGAATGTTATGACTGTACAAGTAAAAGCTCCTTTATTTTAGTATGTGAGGAAGCCTTTTTTCAGCTAGACACAGAATAAAGGGTTATTACCTTAGGTTATTTTTTTAAAAGGGGAAAAATACTGGGATGGGGGAGGTTGCAAGTCCTCATTTAACGTAATTTGGGAAAAAAAGAAAATGGCCCTGATCATGGACATACCTTGCATTAGATTGTGTTCCACTGAACCCAGCAGAATTACTTGCTTGTGCACATTGGCATGGGCAGATTGTAGTTGCTCGTTCAGTGGAGATAATGTAGAGATAAAGCCACAAGTCACAGTAGGGGTTTGCAGGGTCAAGCCCTTAGTTTTTGGGCAAAATGCTGTTGAGTGCTGTACCTGCTCTGGTGTTCCAGAGAGGTTTGAAAAAGTATTTTTGTTTACATTTGCTTTGATGCCATTTTTACTTAGTCTTTTTTATTTCCCATGATTTTTGTTTTCCTACAGTGTGGCTGACAAGCCTAAAAAGCAGCAGAAGAGCCAGGAAATGTGCCCCAAACTCTGCATTAGGTGTGGAACCAGTTTCAATGTCTCCTTTTGCGCCCTCAGTGTGCCAGTGCACCAGACTGACTCGGTGCACAGGTTTCTCTGTCTTAGGCCACAGGGCCTTGTGAACTGCTCTTAGGCAACCGGTGTTGGCTCCAGTACCACCGGCCAGTACAGACCACGGCTGGGCAAAGCTCTGCAGGACGTGTCTGGCGGGTCTCTCCTCCCCTGCCCTGTAGCATTCAGCCAACAGTCACCATTTTAGCAAACCATGCTGACGGTGTTAATGCTGAGATGTTGCTCCTCTCCCTGGTCCCAAATGTCACAGTAGCACCAGTGATTCCCTGTGGGGCAACGTGTGACTTAGAGAGGGAGGCAAATGCAGTGAGCTGTTGTAGGATTGTCGTGGTGGGGGCTTTGCAGAAAGGGCCAGGACTAGCCATGAAACCAGCATAATGCACAGAAAGTTTTGTCCGTGAGGAGCTACATCAGTGGAAGCAAGAGTGAAGGATAATAGGGTAAAAGATGGGTAGAATTAGCAGTTTTAGGAAACCTGTGCTTAAAAATATTCCAGTTATTAATAGCACTGTGATGAAGATGGAGCATGATAGGCCTGCTACCTCCTGAGAAAGATTCCTAACACTTTCCCCTCTAGCTCAGGAGCCTTTCAGGTGTCTTATCCTGTCCTGTCATATCCTGGGATGACACAAATGTCACAAACATCTTTAGCTTTGTTCTTAACACCTAGAGAACATGATGTTACCTCCTTCCACATTTGCATTTTTAATTTTTAGGCTGTAGTTTCAAGTTCATTCCCTTTTAGCAGCATTGCTAGCACTTGATCTGGGCTGCTTGTTCCTTACCCTTTGCCAGTTTTTGCCAATATTCCCGTTCACGTGGCCGCACCATAAACTGAAGCAGTTGATCCAAGTCAAAAGAGGCCATTTTATTCTTGGTCTGACCCAAATCAGTTCCCTGCTCTGGTTTACTGTTCAGCCACGCAGGCAGTGGCCACACTGGCCCCTGCACAGCAGCTGTGGTGGCCACCAGGAGAAACACTTGTCCCATTGCAGCCTGGGCACAGCCTGGGGTTAGAGACTGGGGGGAACATGAAAGGAAAGTTATTTACAAAGGCAGAGTAGCTGTCTTGCCTTCTAGTGTAATAGCTGCCAGGTTTAAAGGTAAATGGATGAGGCCTTACTGATGTTTTTAAATACAGACTAACAGGGAGTAAGTTGACTCTGCAATACCCATGGTCTTGAATTTGCCCCAAATTACTTCTTTTGTCTGATTTTCCCGATACAGAGGGTAGTGGAAAATCACTTAGTACCTTAATTCTTAATTTAGGTTTCTGTTCAGTCTGTAAGAACCATTTTCAGGGCTAGTTTTAGAGCTTATTAGCCGACTGTGTCACATCAGCCCTGTCCTCGTTGCCCTTTCTGCCTTTCATTATCTCAGCTGCTTGCTCCTAAAGCTTTGCACACCCGCCTTTCCCAGGCCTGGAAATGGGACATTCTGCAGCTTCCAACTGGTCCCACATTTCCTCCTCTCCCCACACAGGCTGAAAAAAAAAACCATGGGTGCACAAGTCTTGGGATGTGTTTAAGGAGGAGGAGATTCGTGGAGTTAAGCACAGGGGGTGGGTCTGTAGAGCAGATCTTTTCCATGGCCTGTCTGTGTCAGGGTCAGGTGAGGCTGATGGTGCTTGTGCCAGCACTGGCAGGTCCTGCAGAGGTGTAGGAGCACGACCCCCCTGCATCTGCACTATCCCTTAGGGATCTGTTGGCTGCCACCGATCACGTCTGGGAGGAAGCTGAGGAAAAGCATTCTGCTCTGTGTTAGTGAGGACATTCAAAACTATGGATCAGACACAAGACCCTGAGGCCTAAATTGGGTCGATATGGGAAGGCCTTTGGGTTACCTTGGAAAGACATGATAGCTGCACTTCCATCAGAAATCACCAGCTACGACTCAGACAGCTTCAGGCCTGTCTTGTAACAAAAGCTGTTGTTGCACATCAGGGCAGTTTAGCTTAGGAAGAACACTGAAGGGAAGGGGTTTAGAAAACCAGCTGAATGGTTGGGTTTGAGCTGCACAGACATTTACCACAGTCCTTGATATGTTAGAGCTTAGCCATGTAAAACTAGTGTTACCAGTGCACAGACAACTGCTGTACATTGGAAAGCACACGCAGTTTTTACACTGCATCTTGAAAAAGAACTAAAATTAAGTATTCTTAACTGGAAGTACTATAGAGAGTATAAAAAAAACTGGTAATTTTTAAAATGTGATTATCTGTAGTTGATAATCCACAGTAAGAACACCACAGATAGTACAACACATGTACATGTGTCTCTGAGGACGCTTACATGACTGTTCTGAGTGGGGGTGTTGCATCAGTCTTGGTTCATTGGTTGCTTGAAATGTTTGCACTGCCCTGTTGGAATTAAGCTGTTGTGCTGCCCTCCTGCATGAGAGCGAAGTATCCTCACTGCTTAGCTAAAAGTTGAGTTATTTTTATTTTTTGCACACTGTTTTACTGTAAGGTCCTGGTCCCCAAAAGTGTTGCGTGCCCCTCTTTGCTGCAGTCAGATCCTAAGGATTAAACTAAAGCTCAATATTTACAGTTTTAGTGGGGGGCAGAGCTTTTATTCTTCTAAATGTTTCTTTTGGGTTTTCAAGCAATTCTGAAATCTAAGAATAATTGACAAATGATCCTGTAGACGTGTTCTGTCTTTTTAGATAGCCTCATCTCTTAGCTGAATGAATTCATGCAATTTTCAATCTCGTATTAGGTCAGCGTTTGTTTGGGGAGACAATCCTAGGGCTAACACAAGGCTCTGTCTCAGACCTCCTGGCTCGCCCCAAGCCCTGGCACAAGCTGAGTCTGAAGGGACGGGAACCCTTTGTCCGCATGCAGCTGTGGCTGAACGATCCCAACAACGTGGAGAAGCTGATGGATATGAAGCGCATGGAGAAAAAAGGTAATTTGGGGCAGGCTGCTGACTCACAGTGTCCAGTATTTCAGAGCTGGTTTTATAATTCTCCATAAATAGGATAGGGGCGGCATTGATCCAGTATGATGAAGGTTATGCAAAAGGACTTCACAGCAGCCTTTTCGTAGCTTTATTTGATGCTAGCTCAAGCAGATACATCTCAAAAAGAAAAAAAGCCAACCAAAAAACCAACCTCAAACCCTGAATATTCACCAGCTGTCGTGAAATAATTGCTATATTCTCCTATAGATTAATTACTGAGGCCCTGGTGTATCACTGATAACTTGCCTTACCAAATGAGAAATGTGAGTTTGGGAGCTGGCTTTGGGTTATTAGTTAATAGTGCTGCAGCTGGTCACAGATGTTGGGCTGGAAGAACTGTGCATTGATTCCTGAGAGAGCTTCTTGCCAGTCCTGCACTGACGGTCGCTAGGAGGAAAGAAAAATGCAGTCTTCATAAAAGGGTTATTTGAGAATAATTAAATTTGTAGCCTTTGTAGGGATGGGGGGAAGGTGATTGAGCTAATACATGCTCAGATAAAACAGTAAGGTCATGAGTATGTGATTTCAGCTTCCATGAGAGATGGAAGTTGGTTCTGGGTTTCATAGTAGAGAGTATATCCTGAACATTTATCCTACTTTCTATATTTTAAATTTGTGACTGAAAACCAGCAGTTACTCAGAGCCCTGTTTTGAGTATGTTCATGTGATTTTACAAGAGGATGCCATTATCAGCCGTTAAGTAATTAATGATATATACAACTCTCGAGCTATCCCTTAATGATATTAGTACAGACAGCATTAATCGCGTGCGCTGAAAGTGCTGCTGTTGACTGACATCCTGAAAGCATTAATACATTTGATCAAGAACTTTGTGATTAAAAAGATTAAAAATTTCACTGAGGGAGCTTCTGGGAAAACTGTAGCCTTGCATGCTTTTAAAAAAGAAATTCAAATCCTTTCACAGTAACTACTCTAATGTAACACAGGGCAGCAGCTCACCACAGACCGTGTACAGCCTTCCATGGGGAGAAGAATCCCCTTGGGTTTCCCACTTAGGACTGTGAAGTGAAGGGAGCCAGGATGGGTTTTGCTGTATTAGAAACATGGCAGAAATAAAATTGTCAACTAGCTGGATTTTTATAGCCTCAAAGAGAGTATTGCCTATAATGCAAGAAAATAAAATAAAAATAATTTAAAAGTGGTACTGACAATATCCTTTCAAAACTATTTTCTAAACTGGATTCTTATCAAATACTGTGCAATACATTTGCTCTATAGATGGCACCTGCATAGAGATCAGGCTATAAATCATTGAGACTCTGTGCTGAGCTCCTGAACTGTGTAAGTGCTGTCCTCATAGCACAGCACTCTAAACTGAACTCAGCCCTCTATTTTCTGCAAAATCTTTTTATGCAGGTAAGGATCCTGTGATTTAACCTTTTAAATTGCTCCAGAGCCACATTAAGAATTTAACTTCCCCTTCAGCTAATGTCAGTTAAAGAACAATGCCACTGGATCTGCTACCAGTGAAACGTTATTATCAATTATTTCTCTGCCACATTTTATTAAGGGAGTAAATTAATAATTATGATAAAGGTGAGCTGCATATATCTTCTTTTCTGTTCTGCCAGTCTGAAGTTATGCTATAAATGTCCATTTTAAGAGGTTCTGAAAATTTGCAGTGTACATTAACTAAGCTCTTTGGAGGAAGCCAGAGGTTCAGGCTCACTGGGCTGAGGCACCTGCAGCACCTTGGAACAGTTCATGCCTCCTCCTTCCTGACCTCCTGGTGTGTGTGCTGCTGGTAACCTCACACTCCTCACTGAACAGGACCGAAGCCTGCTGTCAAGAAAAGATTTAATTCCCTTTATTTCCCCATTATTTCACTTTTTAATAATCTTGTTCAATACAGCATAAGATAAAAATTACATTAAAGGGGCTCTGTTTTACCTGAGCGGGCAGCCTGAGTTCTGCAGTAGTGTCTGCTGTGCCTGTGGCTGAGCACACGCTGGGGAGTCTTCCCAGAGGGACATGGTGATGCTGAGCTGGCAACACAGGGGTGGAAAAGGTAGTGAAACTCAGGGGATAGAGCTGCCTTCCAGACCCAGATCCAGACCTCTGCCCAAATTACATTTGGGTTTGCTGGTTTTTTTCATAGCTCTCCTGAGAATTGGAGACTGATCACAGACAAAAATCAAACTTCTCCAAGCATTTGCCACTTGGATTCCAGTCTGAGCCTTGCTAACACTGCAGATGTTCTGAATGACCTCATGTTGTCTACACACTACACGTATGTTTAAAATACGAATGAAAAAGGAAAAGCTTTTATAAATGGTATTTAAAGCTTCTAGAGACCACCACTAAAGCCTAAAGCTTAGGTGCTAGTTCAGCACATGGTGGAGTGCCAGGATTGTGCCTTTGGCCCGGTGGAAATTTGTTTTAGTGATATATTATCCTTCAAAAAAACAGTTGCCCATGGCAGAGCTGTGGGAAATCCTCCTCTTTCTTTTTATATTAAGGAAATATGTGCATGTATATGATTTGTTCTATTCACACAAGAGAGACCCAAATAAGCCATTGCACCTTTTGTGATCCCAGTGTGAGGTTACAAAAGCAGAGGTAGCCATTTGGGCATGGAATTTTTCCCAAGTTATCACAGCTTCATGCTGTCTTGAGGAGTCTGAAGATGGGAGCTCTCACCTGTCAGAAATGCCATCCTTTGGAGAGCAGAGAAGGCAGAGATTCAGATCATCCTGATGTGTGGGTGTCTCATGTTGACTCAGTTGCCTGACCAAATTCCAGAAACTCCCATCAGAGAGAGCCTAAACACCTTTTACATCTTCCATGTGTGGCTCTATTTTGTCTCATGACCTCCTCTAAGCTGCTGCATGTTGCTGAAGTGATAGATGCTGTCCTTCAGCCCTCCTGGTTGTGCTCTCAAAAGAGACAAGGGAACCTTATATGTATTTTGCATGTCAGTGCAAGTTTGAAATAACTCTTAGGGGTCTTGGAGATTAAAGACCTTCCATAAATGTGAGATTATATTGGTGGAATGATTAATTCTGTGGCTGAAGGTTGTAACAGTTCCTCGAAAGCTTCAAAAATAAGGCCAATAGGTGACCTTGAAATAATGCGTTGACCTGTGGTCACTTTGCAGTTCTGCGGCCAGTTGGAACACTTAAATAGGTGATTCTTTTAATGACCTTTATTTTTTAAAAAAAATAAAACCTTTGCTTTTTATGGTTATTTGAAATACATGCAAGACTGTATCATGGCAGAGTGATGGATCGTGAGCAACTCATGTTCTGTTCCATATCAGTGATCTTACACAGCAGGCGATCCACAGGTAATCTGTCATGTTCAGGAAGAACAAAACGAGGGCCATGCAGATACCCCCAAAGGCTGCAGAGTGTGTTCAGAATTCACTGTGATGATAGTCAGACACGGTGCAAAAAGGTCCCACTGGAGGTACCTCCGTGCAGAGGACAGGCTGCTGAAGCCCACTGGAGACATCAGACCTAGCCAGGCCCGTAACGAGCTCTGCCAGGAGTCGACTTGTGTGGGAAGGGCTGGGAATGTTGCAGTTTATTTGATTGCATTGAATTTTTTATTCTTGTGCACTCTCAGCCTAATAAGAGGGCTCTGGGGAGAGAGAAATATATTTTCTGAAGAATTTGCTTGCTGACCAGTGTGACGTGCCCCACATTGGTCCCTGGCTCCAATCAGAGCTCCTGGTTGTTGGAGGTTTAGTGCCTGCTACATTGATGTCAGGTTGGTGTAATCCAGAACTTAATAGCCAAGGTTATCAAATTGCAGCTCTTGAATACCTAAACTCTTAAATATCTAGAAGGTATTTAACAGGTCATTAAATATTTTATTGACAAGATTCATCTATATTTGCCATTTTCAGCCCCCTCATTAGCAATGCTTGTGCATGATACAGCCAGGTGCAGTAAATCCCACCTCTCTTTGCCCGGTGTAAATCAATCAAGTCAGTGACAGCGTTTGCTGGGACTCTTTCCTTGAAGAATCTGCCAGGATAATTCAGTCCTCATTGTGAAGGAGAGTCAGCAGTGGTATTACAGGCTTGTGCCACCAGCCTCACCAGGCTCCATCAGTGCAGCAAGGGCTTTCTTGAAAGAGATGTGTTTCTTTTTTTGGGAAGGAGGATGCTGTGAGCTGTTTTTCTTTCATAACCTGTCAGTGCTATGGCGAAGCTCTGTAGGAAAAAGCAGCAAACCCCTGGTGGGTTCTCCAGCCCATTGCTGTGATCTCTGGGCGCCATCGTGTGTCGGAGCCGTGGCTGTGGCTGCCTTCAGCTTCCAGAGGCATCTTAAATTCAGAGACCTTAAGGACTAGAGATACCTTAGTGTACACCTGAAGTGTTAAACAGCCAAAACCATTTCAGTTGAAATGAACTGCAGCTCTTCTCATCCGGTGCTTATGTGGAAGTTCACCACTCTTGAAAGAGTGAATCTGAAATACGTTGTGTTAGCTGAACCCTGTTATTCATGTCCCATGTTCATTGAGAAAGCAGAGAACTCTGGCAGCTTTCCAGAGGGTTGTAGCCTCTTTTCTTCCCCTTCTTTCTTCTTTTTCTTCCCCTGGCATCCTCCCCACATTTGCTTTCCTCTGATCTCCATGGATGCTCTCTCGGAGCAGCTCAGCCGTGCAGCACACCCTGTCAGCTTGGCGTTTGTTCCGCAGCTCGTGGATTCATTGATTTTGCATTTGTATTCAGCTGGGGATGATCCGATGCTCTTCTCTTCCAGCCTACATGAAACGGCGACACAGCTCCGTCAGCGACAGTCAGTCTTGTGAGTCCTCCTCCGCAGGGATCGACTACAGCCAGGGAGCCAGCCCGCAGCCCCAGCACCAGCTGAAGAAGCCCCGGGTGGTGCTGGCACCAGAGGAGAAGGAAGCTCTGAAACGAGCCTACCAGCAAAAGCCATACCCATCACCAAAAACCATTGAGGAACTCGCTACGCAGCTCAACTTGAAAACCAGCACCGTGATCAACTGGTTCCACAATTACAGGTAGGAGATCTTGGGGAGCCCCACTCGTGGAGGATTTAGTTTGCTCGCTCTGGCGGGGCACTGCTCGGCTCCCCTCACATGGGGCGGTCGCACAACGAGCCATCCAGCAGTGGGGAGGCTCTGTCAGTAACAGCCAGCACTCCAGACCCATTGCAGGGCATCCCAGAGGAACAGCAGCATCCACTTACTGATGTAAGTAGTGCTTTTAAACAGACAGGCTCATTTTCGGGGTGAGTGTGGATTTGGAGACATCGACTATTGAATATTTATGAAACCCGTTGCCATAAGCAAGACTGGTCCTTCTTACTGCACGTGCACACTCACCAGACACACTCAGCATTCACAGACACGTGCAGATGTCTGTGTAACGCCTGAGCCCCTTAGACAGGGCTGCTTGGAAGTGTCCTCTGCTGGGTGGCATCCGAATTGCACTGCTTTCATCTTTTTCCTGCGTAAGAGGAAAAACTGGATTTTGTTTTAGCTCTTGAGTCACTGGGCTCTGAAAATAAGCACGGTGTGTGCCGGATTTCTGGGAAGCTCCACGCAGTCAGGAAGGACAGAGATCTGATTATGCTGAATCAGATGTGGGTGCAGATTTATTTTGTTGTTAGGATTAAATCATTGAGTCGCTGAAATGAAATAAGATGTTGGTCTGTTCCATAAACCTTCTCCACATTTGAACTGCTGGAGTAGGTTTTGGCCTAGAGACAGCAATAAAAGAAACAATGCTGGAGAGGCATATAAGAATTATAAAGATTTGAATAAATACATTATCAACTGTGTTTGGGACTGGGAATCTTTAATCAGTGCAGCAGACTTTTTTCCAAGAAATTTTTTTCTAATAAGTATTGAACAGGCAGAGTTGAGGTACCAGACTTGGTAGTATTCTGCTCCTTCACTCCGAGCCAGCAATGTTCCTAATGAGTCCAGGTTGCTAGACTTGTTTTAGGAACTGCTAACATTTAAAGGGTATTTTCCACTTCAGCCCTCATCAGCTTTTAACAGGGAAGTTACTGAAACAAAAACGGCACAGTTTAATGAGATAGCTCAGAAATATTATGCACAATGGTTAAATACTATTTATAGCAAACAATACAAAAGCTAAGAATTATAACCAAGGTGTAATCACCTTTACAGCAGGTTTCACTGAGCTGAATTCACTGCAGCTGCAGCCTCCCTCACTGCACAGTTTCCAAACGCAGGCCTCTCTCCCAGTTCCCACTTCGAGGCAATTATACACCAGTTGGAGGGATGCCTATGAAAATATGTTCCCTTCGGCCTGACAGCAAAATGTGCTGTTCTCACTTGGGCAGACGAGCGCGGGAGCACTGGTGGCATGTGTCATCCTCCTCATTGCCACCAGCTCCCCTGCTCGGGCCTGCTGCGGGGACGCCTGACAGGCCGCGATGGATCCGCCCGCTCCACGCCCAGCTGGACGGTGGTGCAGGCTGGGTGCTGACAGCTGCACACAAACAAAACCTGTATAAACAAGGTGCTGTAGGCTGGTGGGAGGCACAAGCCTCGCAGCACTGAGTGATCTGGACCTGCTCCCAGATGTGCTGCTGAGTCTCCAGGACTTTGAAAGAGATGTTTCGAGCCTGTCTGGAGCTGTGGCTACTCTGGGCAGTTGGCACCACTGAAAAATCAAAACACGTGCCTGTTCTTTTTCCTCTCTGCAATAATTTTCTTAGGTTTTGTGCAGGAAGTACTCTTAAATCATTTGCAGGACATTGCAGAAGAGCTACAAGTTGCATGTTCTTGTGGGGGAACAGGCTCTGACTGTTCTGCAGTGCATGTATTCTCAGAAATGGATAGTCTTTCCTCTCTTTTTCTTCTCTGGGCCACACTTAACGCTCCATCTCGTTTGTACTCTCCATCAGCCATTTCTTTCACAAACTGAAGACTCTTCTTACAGAAGCAGTTCCACATCTCAGACCAGCTAGTTATTCTTTAATAGAAATTTTTCTTTAAAGTAATTTCAGGTAAGGCAGGGTACAGATTTGGACGAGTTTCTCTTCCTGTCTCTTGGGAATCCTGTTGGAGTGTTGCTTTTCCTTTGGGATTCAGACCAAACCTCACTTTCCAAAGGTGGTTGCTACAGCAGAATCTACCTTTATATCCACCAGATGGGAAGTCAGCACTAGCATTTATTCTCTGCAGCAAAATAAACTTAAAAAAAATCCTCTGCAGGCAAAGAAGTAACTCACTTCAGAATATAAATAGGTATAAAGAATTTTGACATGTCTGCAAAATTCTTCAACTCTATGGCTTTGGGTCCATACCAGTCACATAGCTCTCAGAACATAAAAATAAATATACCTTACTTTGCATTACAGGACACATCCAAGTTTGAGACTCTATTGTCTTAAGAATGGTACAAAAGAGAGAGGAATTTCCATGACACTTCACGTGTGGAAACTGGCACATGAACTCAGTGAGGTCACAGAAGTGATACTACAGAAGCATCAGGAATTAACCCAAACTTTATTGAGCTGTAATCTGGCACTGCTGGATCCTGAATTTCACTGCTTTTACTGTGGGCATATTTTTCAATGCACTGTGGCATTGTACTTGTTTAGATGTTGTGTGAAGGCTTTTGTGGGGAACTTCAACACATGCCCCAGGAGTTCTCTGGTATTTTGAGTTACACTGATGAATGCCAACAGGATGTGTTGATGTTGAGGCCGACACCTTCCACCGAGAGGAATGCTCTATGGAATTTCCTAGCTACTGTCACCAGTTCTTCTTTACCATAGGGATTTAATTACTGTGTTAATCAGGAGCCAGACTAGATTCCAGATGCAATATATTGGGTGTGATGTCCAGGGATTTCCACAGACATCAAACCTGTATTCCACAGGGCTGTGGTCAGATAGTCAGTGAGGATGTCATCATTTGGGATCTTGCTGGAGATGAGGTAATTTAAATGCTGTGCAGACACAAAGCTCTTACCCATTTCCTCTCCTGACTTGGGGAATGTTACAGAAGCAGCATGTTCTGGATCAATGTCCGTGCAGGGAGATTATAGGTGTGGAGAGAGCCTGGTAATCGATGTTGGAGGATGCATGCAATTAATGGTAATAGAAAATTAATGTTAGCACCTGTGGTCTTCTGTTAGCTGAATAATATTCTCCTAGGGAAAATTACAGACCCTCTAAATCCTTCTGAAGTGTGGAGTCAGCAAGTATTGCTGAAATACTCTGTTGCATTTCAAGTCAATAACATCATTAGGTTTAAAAGCAGTATTGAGATGATGTTCTGCATTTATCCTTCTTTCCTTTGTGTGCCCTGTTCCATGGCACACTTAGGGGAAGGTGACAAATCCGTACAGCCGTCGGTGTTGGGACAGCGTTTCCCTTGTGATTTGCAAGACCCTTATCAGCTCTCCCTGGCTAGAACCAAAAGGGTTGTCTTCACTCTGAAAGATAAAGTTTTCCTAAACTTTCCCTGTGTCTGTAGTCTCGTCCCTGACCACAGGCCATTGATGCTCCCTCTTTGCTGCAAATTAGGAGTGGTCATAACCTCTCCTACCAACAGAGCAGTACAGAGAAGGAGTTAGCCTAGACCCCAGGATTTTTTTCACTAAAAATTAGTTTTCATTTTCTATTCTGTACGTGTAAGGATATTGAGAGCTCCTAAACAAAGAAGGAAGAGGGAAGAAGGGCCAAGTTAAATGGCAAAGGTAGTGTGTTTGGTGTATTATTGTGTGCTTCAGGTAATAAGAGGTGCAAGGTGGCACACCAGGCAATTTTAACCACTTATGGAGTGCATTAATCCCTCAAAATACACCAATTGCCTTGTCACTATTCATGTTCAAAAATCAATTTTTTAAATGAAAAATGAGCCAGAAGTCATACTAGCTCATAGACTGAAAACCTGTCAAAAGCCTCTGCTTCCACAGAGTGGTTTCAGAACAACAGATTTTGTTTCGTCTTAGTTTCTCCCTGTCCAGGAGAATGCCAGGGAGGTTGTCCAGATTTTTTTTTCCTTATTTGTTTCTCTGTTTACGCAAATTGAAGCTCATTTCTAGTAGAAAACTGAATTGTTTTCAAGCCATTTTCTTCTGAATACTTGAAACGTATTCCTGTTCTTGAAATCATCTCTTTTCTGGTCCAGTGTATCATAAAGTTTCACCTTCCTGAAGTCAGGCTTTTAGTGGGAATGAGAGATTGCAGGGTCTTTAATTTCTGTCCCTTAAACCACATCCAGTGCTCTAAAAATCAAGTACACAATTATGAATGTTGCTTAATTTAAACTTGCAAAAAAAGAGAAGATGATGATTAGTCTTCACCAATCATTTCAGTACAAATCAATTAACTGCATAAAGTTTATATTTTTGCTTTATTCCATAATGCCTGCTGTGGTTACTAGAAGAGACAGTCATCAACGTCAGATTTACAGTAAATATGCAAAATCCTGGTTGAAGTCAGGGGGGTTATTCTCAACACGAAACCCTGCAGAAGTCAAGAGAAATGGCTTCTCTGCTCAAAATCCTGGCTGCCATGCTGTGGAGGAGTCCCCGGAGTGGCCTGAAGTTTGCAGCCAGCGTCCTTCTAGCACAGCAGGATTCACAGCAGGCGTGTGGCTGGGGGAAATGAAATCAAGAGCGTCTTGACAGTATTTCATCTTCTTCCAAATGCCTTTTCAGTCAGACCTGTGGGTTAGAGGGTGTGAGCGCTTCCACGTGGCCCAGCTCGGTGCTGCTGCCCCGTTGCCAAGGCAAAACGGTGTCTCAGGAAGGGTGTTTTGGGGGGTGTGTCTGGTGGAGCAGGGTGGCTCCGAGCGGCCCCCGTCAGACTGACCGTCCCTCTCCCCTCTCTCCTAGGTCTCGCATCCGTCGGGAGCTGTTCATCGAGGAGATCCAGGCTGGGGGCCAGAGCCAGGCGGGGTCGAGCGACTCGCCCTCCGCCAGAAGCAGCAGGGCCGCTCACAGCTCCGAGGGAGACAGCTGCGACGGCGTGGACGCAGAGGGCCCCCCTGAGGGCAAGCCCGGCGGCCCGGAGGCGGATGAGTACAGCAATGCAACCACAAAGTCTCAGGGAGGGCCAGCGGAGTCGGCTCTCGAGGCGGGGGAGGAGGCACTGCGAGGCGCTGCCAGGCTGCCGGAGAAAGCGGAGCCCTCCCGGGCGGAGAGCCTGGAGGACACCGACGACGAGGGCAGGCTCCGAGCGCCGCGCCAGAGC